GATTGACATGTATGCAATCAGAAATACATTATTTCCACATATATATATCAGCACGTAGCGACATAATGTTCAGCGTTTATTTCACACATGTTCTATATTTTTCGCTAACTATGCGCCAATGAAGGCTAATTTTTTTTTATTGAATGAAAATCACCTGGAATGCCACTTATCATCATGACAGCAAAGTATAGAATGAACACAGTTAATGACGTCATCTTTTATAAAATAAAACGAAATTCGATTTTTCCCACACAACGTAAACAACAAAGAGATAAGCACTGAAATGAGAAACGAAATATATTGTTAAACTTCAAGTTTTCCGGATTTATCGCGGTAGAAAAAGGCAAAATGATTTCGAATCGAATTTTGCTATATTTGGTCTGAATTGAGCTTTATTTATTGCGTTCTATTCGACGTCATCGCCGTGAATCAGACTTTGAATAACGCGTCACAAAAATGAATGCACTGATAACATTTTTTTTTGCTTTCAACGTTTTAGACCGACTTTACACGTGCATTACGATCGTCACAGTTTATAATAAATGAAAACAATCATATGGGGTCGATTTGCGTCAATACATTTCACTTGATTATGAATTTATTAACACATTCAGACACACGATTTCAACAAAATTCGCATTCGATACGATTCAGCGATTCAATAATTATAACTACATCAATTGTAAACAGGTAAAAAATACTGTTAAAAAATACGAATATTTTTTGCACAATTAACTATGATCTTGTTCTGGGGTCGAATGCAAGAATTACATTTTTCGTTCAATATTCGGAAAATGAAGTTCAGATGTAAGGTCCTGTTTATTTGATAGTATCACATTTTAATGATCAAAAATATATTGTGTTTACTTTCATTTCTATTCAGAAATCATTTGAATTGTGTAAAATAGACAAATACACCAAACACTTTCTTTTCAAAATCAACATATTTTTTATGACTAACGTAAAACAAATACACTTCGATTGAATAATCACATCAATCTAGATCTCAATACTTATCCGTATAATGCACTTTGGAAACATACAAATTTCTCTTGATGGGCTAATAAACGGAATAATTGGCGAATATTGTCTGCTCTGAAATTGAACGAAAACTACTTCGCTTCACCGATCGATCTATATTTATATCATCGAAAAATATTGATAATATGATGATGATATTGAACTGATTGAATGTCATATTTGAAATATGCATCGATTTCTCGGGGAGCTTTGAAGAAGTGATAAGAAATTCGCTGTGTAGATTAAGATTAGCATCAGTTTATTTTTACTCTCCATTCAGATGTCGAATGATGAAAAAGATTGCGATTGCTTAATAGTTTACATCTTCAAATGAATATCGAATACCTAGAGAAAAACAACAGGAGTCATATGAATAAAATAAAAATTCGACGGGCGTATTTTCCCATGATTTTTTTTGCTTCAAACTCAAAAAATAATCTTTATTATTTGTTTGGTAAAAACCCATTTGATTCAATCATAACTTATATTAGTGATTTATCAGATGAAAAAATACGCGCAAATTATAAAACACAATTATCACTCAAACCAACGGAAAGCCTGTTCGATTACCACGGTTAGTTGGAAAGTATTGGAGTGGACCTCCGATACAACTATCATCGAAAATTTCATTTCTTCAAGAAAACCTAGGAAATCGAGAAAAATTTCGTTTCGGACGAAAATCCCTAGCAAATCGGAAGAGTTTTGAAGTCACCCTCCCCTTCGCACATTACTGATCCTTTTCAAATAGTTTTTCAACTAACGGACATCGTGTTTCAAAATATGATAATAATTCATGGTATTTAATTTCCTGTGTAATAGCCATAGCAATCGTAACAGATATTAAAACAAATTGTTTTGTCGCCAAGTGATACACCAACTGTACTTTAGGGTCTACTGATAAAAAGGTTTGAACGAAGTAGGTAATAAAAATAAGTACTGTCGTCGGCCGTCCATTTAAGTAATACAAAGTTTTATCAAGGTCGTCTCTCGCTACTTCCTCCAAATTTCATGGTTATAAAGATCAGAGTTTTCAACTGTTGGACATTATTTTAGCTGAAAAACTGTATCAAATAGAAATATTATTCAAATTAAATCAACGTTTTGCACATAAACTTGTGACGATACGCACTCAGTCGAGTGATTTTACTTTTCTTTGATATTTCAATTTGTTGAAAGTCAGAGTTCAAATGGGTTTTCTCATATTATTCTCTCTTTTCTCTTATTTCGTAATATACTAACGTATATATTGCATCGAAACTCAATCTGTTTTCGTTTGATAACGATTTGCAATTATGATGTCATTTTCTTTCATCAGCTACCAGACATTAGGTTTGAGCTATGGATATAGCGGCCGCTATTTCATAGGTGCTATTCATAGGCGCTATTCATCTCGTTTTAATGCATTTATGCATATTGTGCGTTATTTTCTACATCTCTCTCGTACTCACATTCAAATGTACAAAAGAATAGTAGGCTATGATATTCCTACTCGGTGTTACACACAGCACACGAATTAAATAGCGCCTATGAATAGCACCTATAAAATAGCAGCCGCTATATGCATAGCTCGAGCCTAATGTCTGTCAGCTACTCGAACATATGAATTTCATTAACGATTCATTGAAGTAGTCGTGATTTGTTATGATTTATTGTTTTAAAAACTAAAGCTACAAACAATTCATTTTCATACAAAATTTGTCATTTTTATCTGTCAAAGACTTTCCATTTCAAAATTAGTGAATATTTTTCGCTAAATTATTACTATTTTGTGTTTCATAAGAAAGAATATGCCAAAAATTGTTTATTGCTGAGAATAAAAAGTATTTTTTTTGCAACCCCCAAAAACGACGTTTTACGGCATTTTATATAAAAAATACATATGTAGCTCCAAACTTTTGACGGTCACTGTGTATATTACAGTTTTTACGAATTCATTGTGGATTTGACCAAACAACCGATTCAATCCAATCCAAATAATAAGCGACTCGAGTATAAACGCCGGGCAATTCGGTACCGCAGCTATATCCAAAAGAAACTACGCCCAATACTGTAGAGATGGCAGAGTCTTTTGTCGGAAAATATTGAAGTGGTCCTCCACTGTCTCCTTGACAACTATCATTCTTTCCTGCCGGATCGAATGCACAATACTGTCCTGGGGTGATTCCATCCCGAAGTGCAGCTTGATTTACGAATTCATTCAACTCTAAAAATATTCTATTGCACTCGGTCAATGGAACTGTTTTTAATTGTGTTTTCAGCAGAATATTTGACCTTTCACCTCCTATAATTCAAAACATGTGTAATCTACACAAAAATACAACTCATAAACAAATTAAAACGTACGTTCTGCTGTGGTTTTCCCCCAACCGGTCACAATCAACTTTAAATCAGGGCTCACGTCATTCAAATCGGTTGCCAGGCATGCGGGCACAATGTCATCCGAAAAATATATTCTCTTTGCCACTCGAAGTAGGGCAATATCATTCTTCTTCGTCAAACTCGAATAGCTTGAATGCTTTATGATGTCCTATTTGGAAGGGATTGGTGGTTTGAAAATAGGAAATGTAATATTCGTCATTGGTTACCCTAATTGGATGATTTTCTGGTCGAACGCCGTCGGCATCAGTCAGTGTTATCTGTTGCACAAATGAGACAATTAAACATGAACTAAAATATGGCAATGGTCCAATCGCACAACAACCAAAAATGTCTGAAGAAATGCTTAGTGTTTACCTTTCCTAATCGAACCACCACCGGCGGTCTTGTCGAAGAGCAACAGTGAGCGGCGCTTAGTATGAAGTAATCAGATATGATAGTACCTCCACAGTCAAAGGTCACTTGGTAGTTCTCATTTAAAAATCCTAAGGCCGCCTTTGAGACGATTTCCAATCGTTTTCAGTTTTATAGAAAGTTTAATCCAAATAAGGTATTATATATCAAAAAATATACATTACCATCCACGGGAATTCCCCCATTTCTGCAGGTGAACCACCCAAAATTCGATTTATCGGCAGCTTCAAATACGTTTCGCATGCTAAAAACATACAGCAAAACATGAATAAGATTTTTTCTCTACGGAACAATGTGAATGTTTTTGTTTTATTTACCTCTTTCAGCAGGTCGAAGTGTTGGTGTCTCATCGATAATTTGTGTATCTTCAATACATAGACAAAATCAATTGAAATTCATTGTGATTTGGAGTATTTTTCGTATACCTTCTTGTGAATTTTCAGGAAATATGAATACATCCGGTTTGCTTGTTGTTTCATTCTTCATTGCTTCAGCTTGAAAAATATTCGAAAATATATCGGTCAATCTTCCTTCGTCTTTCTCGTGTATTTCACCTTACCTGATTCGTGATGTTCACCAAAATTCATCGGCTCTTCATGCGGAGCATTAGGATTCATCGGCTCTTGATGCGGATCACCAGAATTCATCGGACGATAATGTGGTGAATATGGAGGTGGAAATGGATAGGGAGGCGGTGGAAACGGTACCTTTCCCAATTTAATTAGTTCCCTTATGCTTTTAGCATCATTTTCAATTAGATTTGAAGCTAAAACTCAAAGATTATTTATCACTTCGCCAAGAGAACCGTTGAAAATCGATATTACCTGATACAACTGAAAAGAAGTAAAACAACAACACCGTCCAACTCTTCATTGCAAATACTTGATAAAAAATGGACGAAATTTGTCTTAAATTCTTGGATTTGTCTTAAATGGATGGATGGATTTGGGGACTAATGACCGTTAGCCTTTTATTTGCAGTGTAGATTTTTTATTACAAAAAACACTTGTCACGTTTACCTTCGTTCTGAATACTTGTGCTGAAATAAATGCTGTAAATTTAGTGAAATCCCATTCTTAAAACAAGTTTGAGACTATCCAAACATATTTATGATTGAGTGTGTGTCTTCATGGCTCGTTTTAAGCATGTTTCTTTTCTGTTGTATGGGTATACTTTGGCACACACTAACTGGTTTATTACTGCATGATGGGTGACGTTCATCAACAGCTGTCAGATGTGTATGAGTCGCAGCAAAATATTGGATTTTGAGCGTTTCCATCATGACTGTGTCAATGAACTGTACACAAGTAACAGCTGTTAAACAGCAGCATCTAACCAGTTAGCGCAAGCTTAAGTAATCACTCACACACACAAGAGATGAGAGATATGTTCAAAACAAGCTATGGACACATGAATTCAGTTACAAATATGCTTGGATCATCTCGATATTTGAATCAAAAGAATGAATTTTCACAAAATCACTTCGGTTATATGATAATTTATTCTAATCCATCGTTCTTCGGAATGATATCAACAAGTTTATTTCAGCTATGAAATCATTTTATTTAAAAAAAATGATTTAGTTTAGAAATTCAGAAAGTGTAGATAGATCAAAAAGAAACCCGAAAATGTGTTTTCTTCATACAATGATTTTTGGATAGAATAGATCCGTAAGATCTCCGCAAGATCCGGATCCAAGCGTGCGTACGTAGCCGCATGATACATACATTCCTTACTCCGTAATGCTATGGCATGCGAATCAAAGAAGGGGAAATAAGAATAACGAATTTGCGTGCGTATTATATATGTATGCATCATGCGGCAGCGTACGCACGCTTGGATCTGGATCTTGCGGAGATCTTTCGCATCTATCCTATCTAAAAATCATTGTATGGTTTTCTTTAAGTTTTCTACTGGTGCAAAAAAATTGAACACCCAGACAATTGAAACTATTCGTTTGAATTTATTCTCGAAAACCTCCTTTTAAGCCAATTCCCATCATAGGTGATGACGAGGGTTCCTAGGGTTCGGATTACCCCCCTCTAAAATATTTTAGGAACCGTCAACAATTTTGGAAATGAGGACATTTTTTTTGCTTTTCACTTTTTTGACCGAGAAAATTCTTTCGATTTGCTAGGGTTTTTCGCCAAAAAAGTGAAGAACAAAAAAAACGATTTTAACCTCATTTCCTACAAATTGTTGACATCGTCAGGGACCCCCCATGGATTTTTCCAGGGACCCTCTACGGAATTTTGCCATCACCCCCTCTAAAAAATTTCCGTCATCATCTATGAATTCCAAAGCACGGCAGTGACAAAAAATGACCGACGCGCTCGCATCGGTTGCCAGATGAACTATAGCACCCCTATTGGTTGCTGGTACAAATTTGTGCCATTGTTGAGCACAAATTTGTGCCATTATTCAATGCTGCGTTGCCCAACTGTCACTACTGCCATGCTTTGATGAATTCCCATGCAAATGGAAGCGAATATGGTATCTTGGCACAAAAAAGTATCCGCTGACGCATACCAAATTGTACCACATTTTAACCTATGCATATTTATACTGCATTTGGTTTTCATTTGCTGTATTTGATACACACTTTGAATTCATTACAATATACAAATCACTTTTGAATAGATAAAAGTACACTGTGATTTGCAATCTGCGATTATCCGGCGTGTATGATTTTTTTCAAGGCCAAGGTCAATGTTTTATGAACGGTTTTGTTTGGTTTGCATTACACGATTTTAATAACGTATCATCTCGCTCGTACTTTTGCGATCGTCATTCAATGAAAACAGTATTTTTTTAAATTTTGTTTAACGTTCTCAATTTGGAATTAACGAGGTTCGCAAAACGATTAAAAAGCTCAAAAATAATTCTTCTATATCCTATATATTTAAACGATCGTATTTATTTTGTATTCTTTTGGTTTAAACTCTAAATACAAAAGCATTTTTCGACGATCTTATCTAATATTTTTGAATTTTATTGAAAGTTTTTCAAAATATTGACCAAATAATGAGTATTAACTTCCTCTGATAACCAAAGCGCTACTTAGTTCAGAAAACAAATTGCTTAGTTATCAAATGTTTCTCTTGGTTTCTCGCGATAAAAACGTTTAAACAAAGTCGAAGCCGATACTGCTTCCTCCGACAAATTTATAAATTTTTGTCAAGGTCGTTATTTTGTTACATCTTCCAAAATTATACAAAATTAAACATATTTTCTATCGTTTCTACTGATTTGGCCAAACAACCGATTCAATCCAATCTACATAATATGCGATGCGAGTATAAATGCCCGGCAATTCGGTGCCACAACCAAAACCAAAAGAAACTATGCCAACAACGGTGGCTGTTGTGGTGTTACTATTTGGAAAGTATTGCAGTGGACCTCCACTGTCTCCTTGGCAGCTATCGTTCCGTCCCTGTGGGTCATAAGCACAGTACTGTCCTGGAGTGATGCCATCTCGAAGGGCCGCAAGATTTGACGCTTTATTCTGTTCCAAATATAATTGACTACACTCCGTCAATTGCATTGTTTTCACTTGTGTTTTAAGTAGAATGTTGGATCTATCGCCGCCTAACGTTGAAAAAAAAACTCATTATTTTAGTGTGTCTTTTAGAGACTTTGATCACAACTTACGATCAGCAGAAGTTTTTCCCCAACCAGTCACAAGCAGCGGCTTATCACTGTTTACGTCATTTAAATCGGTTTGCAAACATGCCGGTGCAATGTCATACGAGAAATATATTCGTTTTGCCACTTTAAGTAGGGCAATATCATTTTTCTTAGTCAGCATCGAATATTTCGAATGTTTTATTATGCTCTGTTTGAAAAATAAATGTAAATGACATTATTTCGAATGTTTGAAAGAACTGAATGCTTTTTTACCGCGATTGGATGATTGTCCGGCTTAACACCATCGCCATCGGTCAGAGTTATCTGTTTGTGAGTGAAAAAAATATAAAAGAAAACAGAGGTATGTCACCCGTTAACATCTTATATGAGAAAAAAACATCTCTCTCTATCCGTTTTATCTCCACTCACCTTTCCTAATCGAGCCACCACTGGTGGCCGTATTGACGGCGTACAATGGGCCGCTGTTATTACGAAATATTCAGATATGATGGTACCTCCACATTCAAAGCTCACTTCATATGTGTCTTTTAAATAACCCAAAGCCGCCTTTGAAATGATTGAAAATCATAAGATAACTTTATAAGAACGAAAGTGGTTTTGGATTGTGCAATTGCATTTCATAAAACCTCTTACCATCCATGGGAACTCCTCAGAATCTGCTTCCTCGCCACCTATGATACGAACGTCCAGGGCTGGTTGTGCGTATGTTTCGCATGCTAAATCCAATTTCAAGTTTTTAATTACAATTTTTTTCTTTTAAATATTTGATTTACCTTGTAGTGCTGGTCGTATTTTAGTCGATTTCAGTAAACGCGGTGGAAAAAGAAATGGTGGCGGGGGAAATGGAACTTTTCCAGCTTGAATTAATTTTTTGATAGTATATTCATCTGTTTTTATGTCATTTTGAGCTACGCTTGGCACTGAAAGTATACGGTTAATTCGAAGTCATTAATCAAATTATTTTAGCCTGAATTTCGGGAATTTTTGGACCGTTTTTCGGGAACTTTTAGCCCAATTTTGGGGATTTTTTAGTAATATTTTCGAATTCTTTAGTCCAATTTTCGGAAAGTTTAGGACGATTATCGGGAAAATTAGTCCGTATTTAGGTTCACCCATTAATCAAACCGAAGAGTCGCAAAAATTTCGAGAAATAATAAACAGTTTTTACCAATTAAGACTACGATGAACACAAGCCAGGTCAATATAAACATTCTCATTTTAAATTCACTGCTATTCTTTCAGATTCAAATTAATAAATAAAAATTGTAATTTTGCGTTCAATTTCAAATCAATTTTGTCATTAAATCATAATTGTTTTATGGTTTTGTGACTCAAAGCAACAAAAAACCTACACACATGTCAAAAGCACCGAGAAACAAAGAGAATCATTTTTAAAAAATTCAAACTCGATAAGAATGAGAACCACATTATATCCGTTTACTACTTATCAAATGACCAACTACAATAAATCTCAAAATATAATATTTAGGCAAATTTTTGGTTTGCTGTGAGGTCGAATGAATAAACATCATATGTGTATTTTTAAGAAGGTTATGCTGGTCTCGTTCCCACTGCTCAGTCTGTTATTCTATGTTAATATATTGCGTCGGTTTGTTTTTATTGAACAACATCAACATACTTGAAATTGTCGCTTATGTTGCCATCTTCTTCTGTCAGCTATTCATAAATATGGAATTGATTAAAAATTCATTGGGACCGTCGCTTGGTGTTATTTGTTGTTTATATTGATTTGTTAAACAGGCTTAGCTTGACTCGCATTGTGAGTCTCGCAGGTGGCATAGTCTGGTCAATGCTTCGATTTTGCACATAATCTAGATCTTTCATCAAAAACCAAAGAGGTGGCCCTGTAACCTGTATAATGTATATCTTAATACATGAATGAATATACCAATAACCGATAGGCATGATGGCATACTAAAAATGAAACATGCGAAAGTTTGAATTTATTCTTTTTACCATCTTCAGTTGATACAAGAAGCCAAACCATTTTGAAAACCAGTTTTAAAGCAAATAGGAGTTTCCCATACAAATTTAAGCGAATATTTCAACCAATTGTAAAGAACAAACAAAATCTTTCGCTATACATGTGCTCAGCATGCGGATGTATATTTTGTTCAAGGTCAAGAACTATTTTTGTTGAATCGTTAGTTTTTCGTTAGTGAGTTCAGTAACCTATCAACACTCTTGACGCCAGTACTTTTTCGTCCGTCGAGCAGTAAAGTTTGTAATTTTTTTTTTTAAATCCAGTTTGGAGTTTTGTTTGCGAAAAAAGTTTATAAAATATCCACATCAAAAAGTCTTCAATTTTTTTTCAGATTTTTTTTTTCGAATTAAAAATGAAGCTTCATTTGGTTTTTACAATTATCTTACTTCTTATTGGTAAACAAAATTTATGACAAAAAAATATTAAACATTTTTTTCCGTTCTAACTTACCAATGATTATTTATTATTGATTTATTTAGTGCCAATTTTCGGTCAACTCTACTCTCCCAAACATAAGATCACGAAGAAATTTTTTTTGATGACATTGGCTCCGGTGAATTTCTTGCATCTTGAAATACGCATTAAGAAATGATGACCATAATTGTTTCATTTCAGGCGAATTGGTACCGCGCTTTTTTCCATTGTCGCTCTCTTGGCATGAATTTGGCCAGCATTTCATCGCGAGAGGAAAATAACCAAATATTAAAGCAAATCAGAGATGAAGGTTATTGCAAATTTGATATTGAATTGAGTTTGAGCGAAGAGTAACATTTTGAATTTTTACCAGGTCATGGATCAAAGGATTTCTGGATATCGGCTATGGATTTACTGGATGGTAATGATTTTTTTTGGATGGGAAATGGTAAATCGGTGACATTCGCCGATTGGGCACCAGGGCAACCGAGCAATTCATTAATCCGCGGTGAACGAGAGAGTTGCGTACATATATTTAATACAGCCAAAGATGCCAGTTCAGTTTCAAAATGGAATGATCGCGTTTGTTCTGACAAGATATTTTTCATTTGCGAACAAGAAATCACCGAATACGAATATTGTACGAATTAAATTGAACTCGCGATTTTTAAAGTATCAAAAAATGTGAAATTTCTTCTATTATTTGGAATTTTTAATATTTAATTGGAATTTTCTAACAAAAAATAGAACCATCTAGTTTCAGTTTAGTTAAATACCAACAGAAGTTCAGTTTAATTAAATAGAATCGGTTTTGGACTGTTTTATATGTATTCGTTTCATTTTTACATTAAATAAAACGTGTATTGAATTTCGACATTCGATTGCCAAAATCTTTATTAAATAGTTTTTCAACTAACGGACATCGTGTTTCAAAATGTGATAATAATTCATGGTATTTAACTTCCTGTAATAGCCATAGTAAACGTTACAGATAAGTGATACACCAACTGTAACTTGAGGTCTATTGATAAAAAGGTTTGAATGGAGTACTACTTAATAAGAAAAAGTACTGTCGTCGGCCGTCCATTCAAGTAATACAAAGTTTTATCAAGGTCGTCTCTCGCTACTTCCTCCAAATTTCATGGTTATAAAGATCAGAGTTTTCAATTGTTGGACATTATTTTAGCTGAAAAACTGTATCAAATACAAATGTTATTCAAATTAAATCAACGTTTTGCACATAAACTTGTGACGATACGCACTCAGTCGAGTGACTTTACTTTTCTTTGATACTTCAAATCGTTGAAAGTCAGAGTTCAAATAGGTTTTCTCATATTATTCTCTCTTTTCTCTTATTTCGTAATATACTAACGTCTGTTTTAAATATTTTGTTTACGCTTGAGTTTCAGTATTTTGCATCTGAATTCAGTCGGTTTTCGTTTGATAACGCTTAGTCACCATCATTTGCAATTATGATGTCATCTTCTTTTATCAGCTACTCGAAATATGAATTTCATTAACGATTCATTGACACTGTCGTGAGTTGTTATGATTTACTGTTATAATAACACGGTCTTTGTCTTGTTTTTAATGTTTTATAGCAAACAAGCAGTTTTCCAAATGTAACGTCGTCCGAATGTAAAACAAATGAGTTTATTGAAGATTCAGGAAAAAAAGTATGGCCAGACCGTCAAGATTTGTCCATCCGAACACCAAAAACCTTAGCAAATCTAAATAATTTATCTTTCCAAAAACTCTAGCCAAAATGGGTTTTTCATTCCACCCGCGGGTCCAAATTACCAGGCTGAAGTGATTTTGAGTCAAAAAGAACCCTGACAAATCAAAAAAATACTCAACTTCAAGACCATTACAGACTGAAGTCACATTCGATCTCGATCTTCTTTTTGTGTATTGTCAAAGAGTGAAAAAAATTGTAGTCCGATAATTTTGCCCATTCAAAATGAAGAAAAAATTTATTGAAATTTCATTTGTCGAAAAACAAAATTGAATTAGATCAGATTTTTTGCTTCACAACAATTCAAGTAGCGAGAAAAATGTGTATTGAAATGATTCAATCTTACGGAATTGAACACTTTGTTGTATCGACTTGATTTTTGGCGGCATTTGGGCATTTTTTAGGTGCGAAAGGATGGATAATCCATTTACTGAATGCGCCCGGTTGAGTCTGGTACTCGTGGCACATCAAAGTGACCAGTTGCTTTTGGTCGATCTAATTTCACTTTCGGTGGGGCAGATGGTACTGGGGCTATCCATGTATCTAAACCTTTATCTAAATTCGTTTTCATACGATTTTCAACCTCTTGAACTCTTTGTGACACCAATGATCCTTTGGCCTTTCCTTTGGATGTTGAACCTGCTGCGGCTGCGAGCTTGGATGAACTGGCTTGTTTTGGTGAACCAGGTTGAGCACCTTTCGGTGAACCAGGTTTGGATGAACCGGAAGGTGTTCCTGGGGCTGATGACCCTGATACCGAAGAACCTGATGGTATTTTTATTCCTGCTGGCAAATTATTTTCACGTTTGCCACGTCCACATTCCAAGTAGAGAAAATCATCACCAACATCTTCTCGATCATTGCTGCAAAGTCCTGCATTGACACAGCTAAGCTGTGAAAAAAGGGAATTTGATTAAAAACACGGTTGAAAAAGAACTGATAATAAGACACTTAAATACAACATGGGCTTCAATTGGTAGAATAAATAGGAATTTAACAAATTCTAAATTGGACACTTTATCTTACCTCGCAAATGACGAATCCAGTCAATAGCAATAAAAATAATTTTTGATCCATTTTTGTCTTCTTTTCACGTTATTCCAACTCAAAAACTGAATCAGCTTAATCAATAACCATCGAATGACTTCTTGTTATATACTATCTCCGGCTTATAGATAAATTCGATTTGAATAATTTTGAAGGAAAAATTGAAAATTATAATTTTATATGCGCATGCATTAATTTATTGGGCACAATAACTGAAATTATAATCTTCTATGAATGACGTAAACAGGTGTCTTGGCGCAAATTCGATAATAATAATCGAAACAATTTTTCATTAAATTTAAAAAGTCATTTATTTGGAATGAACGCATGTGTATAATATTCACATTTTCGTTTTTTGAATAACCGAATTACGGACTTGTCGCCAATTTCAACACTTAAGAATATGATTAATTAATCATCCAAGTGCGATATTGGTTACTTAATGTACTCGACTGGATCCCGATATTCGATAATTAATTGTATACATTTGGGCAAAAGATGTTCAAGTCGATAGATATCCGTTTGTATGTAACTACATCATGGCTTGATAGCGATCTCTAGTTCGTAATTAGATGAAGACGCAAATTTCTACAGCTTTTCTGCTGCTCTCTTTCTTTTTCAAATAAATAATTGAAAAATTGTGTTTTGTTTCATCGAAATACATTTTATTTGGTTTGATATGAATATATAATTCAAGTATCAGCCTCAAGCGGTCGAAAGATAATGGAATGTATTTGATATTCTTTGTATATTTATTATTCTTTTCATATTATCAAATTCTATTTGAATTGATATGTAATTAGGAAAGAAATTATTTAACCAATAAGTCTCCAATTAACAAAGCTCCACCATCGACCGTTAATATGGTTCCTGTGACAAAGCCGGCTGAATCACCAACTAGATATTCAATAGCAGCCGATGTATCTGCTACTTCACCAACTCGACCCACTGGATAAAGATTTTCGTTCTTTTCGTAAAACCGATTAGCCTTCTCTGCTGATCCAAAACGCGTTTCAGCTATCCTACAAAAGTATTCGAAAATAATTTGTCAACTTTTTGTTCTACCACAAAAATATTATTTAATGTGAATATTTACGGTGTTCGAATTAATCCCGGACTAAGAACATTTATTCGAACGCCAATTGGGCCCAAGTCTCTAGCAGCACTTTTTGATAGCATATTAACAGCTGCCTTTGACATGGAATAAGCGTAATAATTCGACATACTGCGTTCCGCGCAAGCACTTGATACATTCAAAATATTGCCCTTGGTCTTTTTCAAATGTGGAATGGCCAATTTGGTGAGTTCAACAATACTTCGTACATTTGTACTCATTATCAAATCAAAATCGGCCATATCGATATTTTCAGCATTATTTAGCTTTACTATACCAGCATTATTTATGAGAATATTCAACTTTCCAAAGTGTGTTACTGTCTCGTCAATAATTCGCTGAGCATCTTTTGAGACATCGGCTATGATTACCAATGGAGTCGGTGCTCCAGCACTTTTAATTTGCTCACTAACCTCATTCAGCCGCTTTTCATCACGACCAACCAATGAAACACTTGCACCTTTCGTTGCCAAATGTACAGCGGCATGGGCTCCAATTCCGGAACTGGCACCAGTTATAATGATTACTTTTTTCGCAAAAGCCAGCTTGTCAATATCTCCAGCCATTTTCGATACCTTGCGCTTTCCGTTTGCCGTATCAACATGCCCCACAAAAATCTGTGGGAAAAATACAATTCGATAAAAACACGCACCAAAAGTAACCATTTTTCAAGACATTTAAAGGATTTAAAGCAATGATGAAATATTGACATAAAACATTTGATAGAATGAGATTGTTAAATTTGAATTTTGAAAATTCATTCTTCTATAGATTTTATTTTACCTCACAAATGACAAATCCAGTAAATAGCAATGCAAATAATTTTCGTTCCATCTTTCTCCTTTACAAAACGTTCCAAAGCTTATTGAAAATGACTTCTTTTTTGTCCGCACCCACTGAAACTGTAAAAATATATTCGCTATCAGCTATGGACCTTGAATAATCGTGAAGAATTATATTGTGTTAGACAATCTCCGCAACAAATTTAAAGTCTGGTTTTAAGGCTTATCCATTGAAAAGCCAATAAACGTTTGAAAGTACGTAGTAGTGGAATAAAGGACATCATTTTCTAAATTCTGTTTGGCCCATATAAAGACTCTATAGTCAACACGGACTTAGCTAAAGTGTGCCAACACCATAGAGATGAAATTCAAAACAATATGGATGACTTTGTTTTAAGAATTGTTCCTCTAAGAAGGAGGAATGGCGAGGAGGGAAATTAGGAGGAGCATAGCGCTGAGGAGGATCCTTCTCATCAATTAAGGAAATGAATGTTTTTGATCGAAGATGATTTTTTTTTTAAATCAAATAGCTTTTTGATTTTAAAAATTTCCTTTCTCCCTTGAAAATATGTCTCATTATTCTTCTCCCCTCACTATTCCTCCTCTTCAGAGGAACAATCCCTGATTTTAATGAAAAAAGTACATTGAAAATTTCCATTAAATTTATGAATGAGTGATATATTTATCATTTAAACTGAACAGCTAAAAAAAACCACAATTTTTCAGAGGTAAACTTAGAAAATTTAATTCCACTGACCTTTACAAAAATTCAACTCGAATTCAATGCTACTCTTCAAGACAGTTGAACAAAACATGTTTAGTTTTTGCCAAAGCATGTATATTTATACGCTTTTGAAAAATAAACATACATGTGGAATTTGAAACTATTTTATTAAAATGTACTTTTCCAACTATAATTGCGTGAAACTTTACACACGTTATTTGCACACCATATGGAAAAGTATTTCGGGGTAAGAGCGAAAAAATGTCAAATTTTGTGTTTTGGAGGCCAGTCTATTGTACAATGTAAATACAAAAAAAAACATGTTTCACTGTGGACGTGGAAGCTGTAGAACGTTGTAAAAAATGTAAGAAAACAATAACAAGAAAGAACTCCAGATTCCATATCTGTTTTTTTCGTTAATATACTACAGAATCCAGAGTTTTCTTTGCACATGTCGTCCACATATGGCAAAATTACGTAAACAAATTCATTTTGATGTTGTTTCTTGGAATTTTATTTTTTATCAAAAAACTACTCTAACCGACATCTGTTATATTCGCTCAAATCGTGAAAATAACTTTGTTTGTGCGTATTAGATATAATAGTATTTTTAATTTCATTTCATTGAGAACAAAGTTATGTACACAATTTACACGGTGCCACATTGTCGTAAAAAAGCGTTAAGAAATCAACTTAACCCTCTAGTGCATAGCCCTGCCTTTAGACGGGGTGTACATATTATTGGCTAAAATATATAATTAAATAATTTTATTTATGAATTAAAATATATTCAGCAAGGTTAAGTCTTTCATTTGCCAGTCATTTGACAATTTGTATGTCAAGCGATTGTACGAGAAAACAGAAATGTGACAAAACATTATCAGTATCTTTGTTTATCAAATAAAAAATCTCTATCGAGGTGGAGAACGAGTGACGAAACCAAAATTTGAAACACAACATTTCTGATATCAATTTTGTGACGAAAATATTTGGTAGATATTTTTTTCTGTGTACTGTGAATATAAACTTAATGTACATTTGTATATTCAAAACGTTGCAGAAATTCTCTCCTTTTTACTTTGAGTTCATACTGACGCAATGAAGCAACGTTCCAAATTTACAAATGTATATTAAGTTTATATTACATACACTTTTCGATATGGTCACAGCGCTGCTGCCATCCACAGCATATTAAAATATCTTGCTGGGAATGCGTCGTCCGTCGCATGCGAAGGTACGTAGCAGTTTTTACATCACCACGAACAATAATACATGCATTTTTCTCTATACAATCGTTTGAATGTTTTGAGTCACATAACCGTGATGAGAACAATGCATGCATTCTTGTTCGCTGTGATGTATAAACTGCTACGTACATTCGCATGCGACGGGCGACGCATTCTCAGCAAGATATTTTAATATTCTGTGGATGGCAGCAGCGCTGAGCAATTATCTGTATGGCCACCCCACATTGAAAGAAGCTTTCCTCCGATATTCGACAGAATGATATGTTTTTAGTTCTATCATTTATAACAGATGGCGCCACATATAAATTCGTACCATTGTTGGGATTAAAAAATAATCCATTTAGATTTTTTGATAATTTTTTTTAAAAAGATTAAATTGTTTGAATTTTTCATTTCATTTCATATTTTACATTTTGTTTTCATGAACATATATTATTCTTTACACAAATTCGATACAACTTTCAGTGTTGACAGCTTATGAACGCACTCTTGGAATGAGCAGCCATAAATAATAAAACTTGTGAGCGTATTAAGACGCCACCAATGCACGAAATTGAAATCAAAATGACAACCAACATGAAGTTGGTTGTCATCAGCTGTCAATTATGTTTGCTACCACGCTGCCAGTGACATTTCATGTTAGTACTTGTTGATTGTTACTTTTCCGCACACACCTAGTGTGAAAGGGGAAAGTATTGCAATAGGTCAAAATTTACGAAACCTCAAAAACATGTTTTCTGGACGTTTCTGAGGTCAGAGAACCCGAATCAGGCCGTTTTGAGCATGGTTGTTGTGGGTCGCTTCCACGTCGTACGTCGTACGTCGTACGTCGTACGTCGTACGTCGTACGTTGTCCGCCGTACGCAAAATTTGTCCATCGATTTTCTCACCACCCAGAAAAGTTATTTGAAATCTGACTTCACGGGATGATTGGGGGTCCCCAGGAATAGAAATCATCAGATTTTGAGCGACTTTGGTTGATGGAAAAAAATTCCATGCCTGGAGTGATACCTATGAAAAAGAGTCCAATTTTCGTCCAAAAGTCATACTTAATGTAGACTTAAACACTCAAAAATATGTATTGGGGGTTTTTTTGGCACGAGAAAACCGAATCCGACGTTAGTTTTGAGATACAATCAATTTTTAATACAGTTCCCTTGAAAAAATCACAAAAAATTTGGATTTTTGTATGGGAGCCATGCCTGTATGCTACCTTAATGACGTGAAACTTTGCACAGACTATTTTTTACACAAAAGTATAACATTCTGAAAATTTGAAGAGATTTCAATTAAAATTAGGGGTACCTCCCATACAAAATTTTCAATTGGCTCAAAAACGAATATTTTGTATGGGAGGTACTCTTGATTTTGGTTGAAATTTCTCCAAACCCTCCGAATGTTATTTGTGAAAAAAATAACCTGTGCAAAGTTTCACGCCATTAAGGCAGCATACAGACATGGCTCCCATACAAAAATCCAAATTTGTTGTGACTTTAGTTATGAAAAGTGTTTCAAAAATAATTTTTATGGCAAAATTAACGTCAGACATATTTTTTATAGTGTTTTGTTAGAAAATAGAATACTTTCAAATGTCGTACAAATGGGTTCATCATGAAAGTGTGAAAAATCTTTTCTCGGGCTATTAAATTAAAGAATATTTCGTTGCCAAAGTTGAAAAATATTTTTTGGTCTCGAACTTTACGCCGCTTGAAAGACTTGAAGAATCGAGCAAATATTATTTTGAACTTTCTTAATAAAATACGCAACTACCACCGTGCGGAAAAGTTCGTCTTACTCCCGTAAGACTCTTTATTTCGGTTGGTTTGGACAGAGTTCTTATGTTCTTAATTGTTTTTTTCATTAATTGTGAAGTTAAAAAAAATGAGCTCGATAATACGCGTCAGTTCAGCAACTGCTGGTTCGGTAAGTGTCAATGTGAAAACCGCTCAAAATTTAAACAAAACGATAAAGCATGAGGCATACACAGTGACAGCTGAAACTTTTGCTAAAGTGTTGATTTTTATTATTCTGTTGATGTTACATGAATTATCATAAACTTATAAAATTTTATTTTCATGAAAACGAAATTCAGATTTCATTTCCAGTTTTCATTCATACATAAGAGATTTCATGTTCATAGGAAGATGGCGTTAGTGTATCAAAATTATGCACCAAACGTCAAATTCCATAGAAAAAAGTCTTTGTTATTTATGGCTGGAATGAGATAAACAATATAAAATACGTCGTATAATTGAAATTAAAAATTATTAGATTGATATTTTTTACTCCATATTTAATTTAGTTTATTTTTTTAAAGCAAAACAACAAAAATATTAATATACTCTGAGAAATTACAGATGGGAAAACTCAAAGTAATAAGAGCAAAATGCCATCTTAACATGAACATATTTTCTAGCATATTAAAATGCCAATTCAACCGCAACACATTTTGTTTGCGGGTAAAATGCTATTTCAACATGTAAAAAAATATGTTCATATTAAAGTGTCATTTTGTCGTCAATTGGTATATTTGTATAATTTAAAAGTCATCTTTTTTCATTTAAATGTTCTTAAAAAATGCAATCGATAAAAAAATACAATATGACGATTTTACTTTTCCGCACACATAGTGTAAGGTGAAAAGTATTGTAATCGGTCAAAATATTGAAAACTTCAGAAACATGTTTTCTACCTATTATTGAGGTCAGAGAACACGAATTTGGCGTTTTTAAATATGGTTTTTGTTAATCTGTACGTCGTACGCAAAATTTGTTAGCAAGATTGCGCTCATCGTAGAAATTAAATTCAAAATCTGACTTTACAGGATGATTGGGGTCGCGAGGAATAGAAATCATTAGCTTTTGAGCGACTTTAGTTGATGGAAAACAAATTCATGCCTGGAAAAGAGTCCAATCTTCGTCCAAAAGTCATACTTAATGTAGAATTAAACACTCAAAAATATGTATTGGGGCACGAGAAAACCGAATCCGAGGTTAGTTTTGAGATACAATCGATTTTTGATACAGTTTCCTTGAAAAATCACAAAAAAATTGAATTTTTGTATAGGAGCCATGCATGTATGCTACCGTAATGACGTGAAACTTTGCACAGACTATTTTTTACACAAAAAATGACATTCTGAAAGGTTTACAAAATTTTCATTTAATAAAAAATCCAAAACTCTAATCCCGAATATACAGAAAAAATCCCCAATGAGAATACTAAAACAATACTTAAAATAATTTGTTTGAATTCGATTTATTGGTCATCATCGTTTTCACGGTGCAAAACATACAGTTCAATTCAGAGCAGCGGTTGCGTGAAAGAAACAATAGATGCGCAATTATCACATGTACGCTTAAGGTACATCAAAGCGACGAAGCGGGTGAGTGCGCGCATGTATTGGGGTTTTCACTATTTGGTCAGCATATTTTACTCTGTTGTGATTCTTGTGTATATGTATTGTTTCAGCTACAACTGTCAGTTCTCTTTTGCACCGTACTTGTGTATATGTTTTGCTCCGTGAAATCGATGACAACTTACAAAATGGATTCAAAGAATTTATTTTAAGTATTGTTTTATATCGGCAAAGGGTAAACGTGTGTCAAAAATGGGAAATTGGCTGACAAAAATGGGGAAATGACCCCCCAAAAATGGGGAATTGACCCCCCAAAAATAGGTAATTGGCTGTCAAAAATGGTGCATTTGGTTGTTGAAAATAGGGCATTTGGTTGTAAAAAATGGGTAATTGGCTGCCAAAAATGTAGCTTTTGGCTGTCAAAATTGGGAAAATGTGGCTGTCAAAAATGGGGATTTGGCTGCCAAAAACGGGGAACTGGCTGTCAAAAATTAGGAATTTGCTGTCAAAAATGGGGAATTGGCTGTCGAGCAGATGGAACAAAGAATAATTGAATTTCATTCAGCGGGGAAACAATATGAAACAACGAAATGAAGAAAAGACAAAAAACCATAAGAAAGATAATGTAATTAAAGTATCAAATTGCATCGAATAATATTACTTTTTATTATTACTTTCGAGAAATGTTTACACATTTTTTTCGTTTTTTTTTATCGACGCATTTTTGACAGCCAATTCCCCATTTTTGGGGGGCTATTTCCCCATTTTTGTCAGCCAATTTCCCCATTTTTGACAGCCAAATTTTTCTATTTTTGACAACCAAAAGCTCAATTTTTGACAGCCAATTCGCCATTTTTGACAACCAAACGCACCATTTTTGACAGCCAATTCCCTATTTTTGGGGGGTCAATTGCCCATTTTTGTCAGCCAATTTCCCATTCTTATACACCAAAACCATTTTACCTTTTATATCATATTGTTTTATGTCATATATTCAGGATTAGAATTTAATCCTTTTAGATTTTTTATTAAAAAAATCCGAAAAGATTAATTTCTAATCCCTTTAGTTTCACAGTGAAATACAAGTTATAAGTGTCGCTGTTGATGCTTAATCAACAATGATTATTCAGCAATAAATTTGTATTAGTGTTTTCGAGCTTAACATAAGTTTTGATTATATTAATTTTATTTGTTTGTTTACTTTATTTTTGACCTTTCGTTGGCACGTATTTTAATTTATTTATTTTTTTTAACCCTCCTAGGTATAGTAACGGTCTATTAGACTGAAAACTTAAAAAAAATATCATAAAATGGAAACGCGTCGACCGATTGGCATCAAATTTTCGCCTTTTTACGAGAATAATGGATAAATATTGAAAATAACATTTAAAATCCTGAAACTGTTCTGTAAAAAAAAAAAATCCAGAAAGACGAAAATCCTAACTTGATCGTATAGTTACGGTCTCTTAGACCGTCCATACAAAATGTATGGGAAACACGTAATCAAGCATTTTCACAAACTAAGTTGGTGAAAATTTATGATATCCGTTTAATAAAAATGAAAAACTAAATTGGAAAACGAGAAGATAGGTTGAAATTCTCAAGAAATCTTGTTTATCGCGTACATAATATTATTATTTCAACAAAATGTCTGTCAGAGAAAAATCGATATGAAGTCTACAATAGCACAAAAGGCGGTGTGGATGTTTTGGATCAAACTAGGGATCAAATGTGCCATTCAAACTCATGACAACTTGGAACCAATCGATGGCCAATTCCATTCTTCATGAATCTCATCAACGTATGTGGTGTTGCAGCATTTGTTCTTTACAACACAAGTCACGATATCACGCATGAACAGTATGCATTTCAACGCAAGACATTTTTGATCGAATTGTATGAAGGTTTAGTTTACGATCATATCTCACGGCGAACAGCGCGCGGCATGAATGCATCTAATCAGTCGGCTTTCAAAGAAGTTCGTGAGCATTTGATGGGTCAAGAGGAACAAGAAGCGCCAGTTACACCACGACAACAACGTGCATGTCATTTATGTCCAAGTTCAATCAATCGTAAAACCAAAACATGTTGCGACAAATGCAATAAAAATGTATGCGGCGAACATTCGAAAATCACTGTTGTGTGTGCAAAATGCGAGAAAAAAACGCTCTCATGTAAATTATTCTGATGATTCAAATTAATTATTTTCTTGAAATCTTTTCAATTTTTAACTTTCAAACCTTTTTCAATGTTTTTATTTTAAAAAAAATGCAAAAATTTGAAAAAATGTGTGATTTTGTTTTGGTTTTTGTTTGGTTTCCCTGTATTTTGTATGAACGGTCTAATAGACCGTAACTATACTATATTGTTTTTATTTCGAACTATACCTAGGAGGGTTAATAACCTTTCATTTTATCACATCTTTTTAGTAAATTTAGATCGTTTTAGATATTTCTTTTTGTTTTCTTTTAATATCACGTTTATTTTAGTATAAAAAGACGATTCAATTCGTTTTTCAGACAGTTCAGTTGTAAAGTTTGAATTAATCGGTATTAATAAAGAAAGTGTAAAAAATATTAATATTCTTGTATTTATTCGAGAATAGTCGCCATTAGTGAAAAATATTTGAACTCCACGTATATCAAAATAGGAAAGCTTCTTTTTTTACCGCAAATGACAATATTCGATAGCTCACTTCAAGACCTTTCCAACGATATGCATATGTCTGGGGTGTGTCACATGGAGGCAACCCGGTGACCGTAGGAACAAAAGTCAAAAAGTGACTTTTGGAGTCCGGCCACGGCCAACATGGCGGCCCGAACAAAAAAGTCTCAGTTTTTTGTGTACTTTTATCACAGAAAGTTTCAAAAAGATCAGACACGAGTACGCAAAATTGCGCACACACATACCAAATGACTTTTATAGGAAAAAATTCAAAATTCTGCTCAGATAGAAATTTTCTATTTTGAACCCCCAACATACCCCCCAAAGAGTTTTTCAAAATTTCCAGCCCCTGGAAAACCCGATTATATGCGCCACCCTGTATACAAAGCAGGGATTGTTCCTCTGAGGAGGAGGAATGGTGAGGAGGAAAATGAGGAGGAGGAGGAGAGCGAGGAGGATCCTCCTCCTCAACTGAGGAGGAAAAGTTTTTTTTGCTCAAAGGGCTATTTTTATCACAAAAATATCATTTTTAGCCAAAAACATTTTCCTCCTCAGTTGAGGAGGAGGATCCTCCTCGCTCTCCTCCTCCTCCTCATTTTCCTCCTCACCATTCCTCCTCCTCAGAGGAACAATCCCTGATACAAAGTAGCACACTTTCACAAACTAGAATATTCATCGAATATATTCGTGTCAGAAGATGAACGGAAACTATGCAGCGTTATTAGAGTGGATCATATTTTCGAATTTTATGTGTTTAATTGAATTATATTGTGTTTTGGTTTACTGAACATGAATCTATAATTAAGAAAGCTTCTCTGGATTTTTGAAAGAAAGCGAAAAAAATGAATTGAATGACTTAAAAGTTGGTGTACACTCTATGCTTATCTGTCGAACAACTTTCCAGATGCTAAAAAAAGAACAAAGTATCATAAAATATCACAAAAAGAGTGATAATGAAATGAAACGACGAAATTTTATTCAATGCTTTTAATCATTATTATTAAATTCAAACCTTTACATAAATGACATATACGTCATTTGAAAGGCCTATTCAAATACTGTCAAAATTAGTCAAAAGTGTTTCATTTGTTTGTGAGCATCATAATTTTTTTCAACGATGAAAAATTTTGAAAGTTGGAGAAAAAACCATAATTCGCGGGGGGCAAAAATGATAACGCAGTTGGAGAGAAACATCTTTTCCCCGCATGGTCACTGGACATTGTCCTTTCTGAATTTTACCCACTTGGATTGATTCAACGTCGTGTGCCTGATTGGCAGCTCTCTATTTATAGAATAGTCATAAAATGGGTCGATGAATACATAACCTCAAAGGACGAAGAATCATTTCGACCCGATTTTCGTCTTTTGACTAAAATATGGACAAAAGTAGTGGCTAGCGATGGACAATACTTTGAATGACATTTTCTTTCAATTTCATTTTCACCAAAAAAATTCCGGAAATTAATCGATACACCCAATAGATAAGAGATTTAATGCTTGTGTTCAGCTTTAGATTATTTTCATTTTGATGTTGTTTGTGATATTCCAAAAACATACATGATTCATATACAATACTTACAATGAAAGAAACAAAAATAAACTTATATTATCTATAATGGCTCCTTTTAAACGAAAAAAAGAAAATAATTTCATCGATTGAGGAAAAAAAACACAAATGAACTGTATTTTGGTTAATAATTGTTTTGACAAATTATAATAATGAATTTCCTCGATTTATCGCCAAGAGTTTACAATTGCTCAATAGTTTACATATATTTCCGTTAAAAGTGTTTTCGTTTATTTAATCACGCATTTTTATTTTATGTGGTTGGCCAAACAATGGGCTCGATCCAATCCAAATAGTATGCAACTCTAGTATAAACGGCTGGTAGCTTTAGTCCACAGCTAATACCAAACGATACAATGCCAACTACTGTGGCTATGGTTTTGTTTTTGGGGAAATATTGTAGGGGACCTCCACTGTCTCCCTGACAAGCGTCTCTTTTTCCCTCCGGATCGTAGGCACAATATTGTCCGCCAATAAGACCATTGCGAAAGGGCGCGAGCATTGCTGATTTATCCAAATCCTACAAGATGAATTGGATTTAAAAAAAAAATATTATTGAATTCATGGCAAAAGAAATGAAATCTAGGTAGCTACCATAAGTGTTGAATTACATTGCGACAATGGCATCGATTTCAATTCCGCTTTACGCAAGTCATCAGTTTTCACGAGTTCTTAAATTTCGGGACATTTATGTTATGTTTATTCCATAAATTCAAATACTATATAACTTACGTGTAGGCGATGTAGTTCCATAACCGGTAACGGTGAGTTTCACATCAGATGATTCGTCGCGTAAATTGGTTTGTAGACAAGCCGGTTTAATATACTTTGAAAATGGGATTGTTTTTTGGACCTGAATAAGGGCAAGGTCATGCACTTTAGTTAGTCCAGAATATTGGGGATGAACGAAGGTGTCCTAGTTAAAATAAATGATAGTTAATTTTTGTATTCTTCAAGGAAATTCATTTCATAATAACCTTTATTCTACGATAGATTGCTTTAACGGTGTCATTACGTTTATCGATTAAAGATTCCTGTTCAATATAGAAATTAGAAGTGCTATTAAAAACCTTTTTAAAAACCTTTATTGTTCATTGTTTGTTACCTTTCCCAATCGAACGATAATTAGATGTTCCGTTATACAATGTGCTGCCGTTAGGATAAATTTGTTAGAAATAATTGTGCCGCCACATCCATACGTCATTTGATTATTTTCTCCAAGATCCAAATAGCCTAGAGCAGCCTGGAAAATAAAGAATAATAGTCATTAAAGAACAACCATATCGCAATTTGTGGGCACAGTGGCTACTACGACTACTGCGGCACTATTCGATCAACTGAGTTAAGCTGCACAAGCTTTGGTCAGGAGATAAATGGGTGACCGTTTAGAACATCGTATGTAGTCGTGAAATACCGAGTCAACCGTGTGCAGAAACACGTGAAATAGAAATCCAACGCCATATAGAATATGGAAAAATCATAGAAAATGTAGGATGCAATCGGCTGATCACCGATTTATCTGAATTAACTGATCAACAGAAACCAGAAAGATAAGAATTCTTATCTGAAGGTCCTATGCTCCACTAGGAGTTGAAGGAAATAAAAAAAAATATCGCAATTTCAACTAAAGATGAAAGAAGAGAAAATATTACCATCCATGGAAATTGGTCGCCGGCCAATTCACCATTGATAATTCGAGTCTGTAAATTAGATTTAAATACAAAAATCTTAGGATTTTCGTTGTCTGCGACCAATTCACCATTTAAAATTCTATCCGATGAAAACGATTGACAGGCTAAATCAATGAAAAATAATGTTTAAAGTACGGAAATTTAGAAAAGAAAAAGTTTCATTAAACAGGAAATTACCCTTTTCTGCTGACCACTTTCCACGAACTGTTTCAAGGAGTTTGAGGATTTTATTATTTCCTGAGTTTTGAGTTGGCTGACTGGTAACTTTTCTTCTAGCTAGATCCATTGCTGTGTCGTTGTTTTTATCTTTCAAATTGACATCGGCACCAACTCTCAGTAAAAATTCCACAATTTCCTCACAATCTGAAAATGTCACATAATAATTAAATAACAAATAAATTTCTTATTAGTTTTGGTACCATTAATAGTAGCAATATGTAGTGGTGACGATCCATTTTGTGCTTTTATGTTAACATCAGCACCATTTCGGACTAACACTGCAGCGATATCTTTAAAACCTGGATTTCGAATTGTATCAAAAATATATTTGCACTGGAAAATTTAATTCACTTAAAAATTACCACGATGAGCAGCAGCTGAATGGATTGGTGACCATCCAATCTTATTTGCGATATTCACTTCGGCACCATTTTTAATTAGCAATTCAGTAATTCGCTCATAACCTATGGAGATGATTTTGTTTCAAATTTCAAGCAAAAATAATGATTGACTTAGAAAAATTACCATGGCCACTCGATGAGTGGAGCGGAGAGAACCCTTCATTGTTTACAATATTTACATTAGCACCATTTTTAAGCAATAATTCTGTTATTCGTTCATAACCTTCCTGAGCAGCTACATAAATTGGTGCATATCCATCTTTTCTCTGGATATTCACGTCGGCACCACTTTTAATCAGTATCTCAACGACACGTTGTTGACCTTAAATTAAAAAAATTTCTTTATGTCACACACATTGTGCAGGTAATTGCATTTAGAAAGAATTGGTGAAGCATTTCTTCGATATCATTCGGGACCACTTGGGAGATTTTGAAATAGTCTCCTGAATTTTTGTCAAGCTCAACAACTTTTTTGGGGGGAGGGGGTTTGGTTACCTTCAATTGCTGCTATATACAGCGGACTCTCGCCACTGTTAGTTTTTAAATTAATATCAGCTCCCTTCTTTATTAGCACCTCAACTACATTTGTATGACCTGAAAAAATAAAGATTCAAATATTTTTGTTATTCTTTGTATTTCGAAAGTGGCTCAAAGTAGAAAGAAATTTCAATTGCTCTACCATGCATCGAAGCTTTTAATAAAGGAGTCATCTCAATATTATCTTGACTGTTGACATTGGCCCCCTTTTCAAGTAATAATTCAACAATTCCCTCAAAACCTATGGAAATTTCAAAAACAATAACATTCAAAAACATTCACATCAAACATAAGAAATATGGTGATATTGTATTGGATTACGGGAAGTATAAGACTTGTTCTGTGATATATACAATAAAACAATAATAGCAGTCCCGTTAAATGAATTTCACCGACATAACAGTTTTTATAAGAAATTATAACGAAATGAATACCAGCTCGTTGCAATTTAGTAGAAGTTCATAGCAGCAGTACGTTGAAAAATTACCTTCATGAGCGGCAAACATTATTCCATCCCATCCGTCTGCGCCTCTTATATTCACATCAGCACCACTTTTAATCAGTATTTCAGCAACACGTTCATGACCTCAATTTGATTAAGTTTGTATATTTTTAGATTTAATTGAAAGTATATTTTTTCGCAGAGAATGTGCGAAAAAAAGCTCATAATCTTAATTTGAATAAATGTTCATGTTATTTTGAACTATCACATATCAACTTTGTTTGCTTTACCTCTTTTTATAGCCAAATGCAACGCCGATACATTAATGCCAAATGTAGTGTCGTAATTTTGGTGATTGGCATTTGCCCCATTTTTAAGAAACAATTCAGTGATTCGCTCAAGCCCTAAGGAGACAATTATAGTACAAATTTAAAGCATTGTTTTTTCGAATTTAATATTTTGTTCTGGACAAAAGGTGCGTGTCGTTGGGGGGGGCCCCCCCCCCCTTATTTTGTACCACGACAATTTATACATCAAAATTTTGTGCTAAATTTGTGCTCTTCAAAAATGCTATTCTTTGAATTTGTGCTCCTCAAATAACCGAGCACAAATTGATCAACGATAAACGTGATTTTTGTATGGGAAATTTCTTAAGACGGGATTTTTCGGGGATTTCTTTTTTACAGGGATTTAGTGCCAAATTTGTGCTCTCAAAAAATATAATTTTTGTACACTTTAGGTGTACATAGGTCATCTCATAGGTTCGGAGCACAAATTGCTCAAACACGAAAAAATCGCAAAAAACTTTATTTTTGTATGGAAGAGAGATTTGAGATTTTTCATGAATTTAAATCGAGCTGACAGTTGGAGGCCTTTCTTATAAATCGATTCTAAGACGACTGGCAAATTTTCAGCTCGATACGACTACGTTTATTTTTCTTTATCAACCTCTGATTCGTAAAATTTGAAATGTTTCGTGAATGTGAAAGTTTTAAACGTCATCCTCAAATTTGAGGAAAAATCGCGAAAATCTCCAATTTCACCAAAAATCTAAAAAATCTCACATTTCACGAAAACTTCTCGCGTGAATAAATTTTACCGTACGTATTTCAAAGAATATATATGTGTACGGCCACAAATTAAATATTACCTGCAAGGTCATATTAACGACGAATCAATTTTTAGAATCTCTGATAATAGGAAAATTAGAATAAACCTCGTTGATGCCCAATTTTAACGAAATACGAAACGATCTACATTCTGATATGTTTCTCATGTGAAGAAAATTTGTTCGTACGTACGTTCTCCAAAGAATTAAAAAAAAAACTAATGTCGCTCGTGTTTGTACGGACATTTTGACCGTCCGTACGTAATATACTTTCACTGTTTTTTGTCTGTCCGTCCAGGCACTTATGTCCCTGAGCCCATTATTCCAGCACTAATTCACGGTAAAAAAATCATGATTGTCACCTCCCATACAAAGAACAATGCCAAAAAGTGAGCCAGCTGTCATTGCTTGCAAATTTTTCAAACCCTGCGGCTATCATAACAAAACAACGTACGTTTAATTCACGATAGAAGGATTCACCCGAAAAATCAAATGATATAAATATACACCCTCCATTCCAAAAGTTCCGGAACTTTTTAAACATAATAGATACCAGTGGCGCCACCTACGCATACGAGAGTTATTATATTCATAGGGTGTAGCATAAGCATGCCAGATTTTTTTTTATGTCGATCCGATCCGGATTATCCGGGCGAATTTGCTCTAAGTCCGGGCGAAATCCGGGCGATACAACTCAAAATTGTTAACTGAAAATCAGGGCGAAATCCGGGCGGAATCCCTACAAAATTAATTTTTTCAACCAAAACAAAAATATTTTCCTCAGAAAATTTTTGAAATATTTTTCGATTTCCACAAAAATGACTTGATTATCAATGTAAATTCAATAAATGATGTTTCTATAGTTTTTGATAAGATGGATTTTTCGATATAAAAAATACAACAAACTCACACATTTAAAAAGAAAAAAATCCA